ATTGCTAGAATAATCTTTGATATCATAAATTCTGACATCGGCAATATTTGAAATTTTCTTGCTTTCCTTGTCATTAAAATAATTTCCAGTTACATCAGAGCCCGCGTGAAGACCGTATTGTTTTCGAATCCGATCACCATCAATGTTTACTGCCGGAAAACTAGATCCGTCTTTATGGACAATTGACTTTCGTCTAAAATATTCTTTTTCTACTCCATCACACATTTTCCACTAGGTTGTTTTATATCTTTCTAAAAAAGAATAAGAAACAGACACTTAATTAAAGCTACAAACATCGCTTCATTTCAGTTATGGAGACCTATTTATATAAAAAATAAAGTACACAATGAATATATGTTTATTGTTTCATGTGACAGACAAATGCCTGGAGGAAACCATATTCCTGAATCAATGGCCCGATAGATCATTCTCTTTAGTGGGGTTAGTTCTAATCATACAAAACCCTTCGAGGGATGTGGAGGAAAATTGAACTTACCGTAAGTAAACTTGATACAGGAAATACACTAATAGCAGGAATGCTGATATATTATTCGTTAAAGTAATCTTATAAATGAGGGAAAGTAATTGGTTACGTGGTATTATATAGATAATATATATAACACACCAATATTACATTAGACAATAGTCGGTGAATTGAAAATTTGTGGTGGTTTATGACGAGGTATAACATGACTAATGACATTTCAATTAGATTGTTTGAATGTGTAATTAACACCGTTGTTTACAAGTTGTAAAGCAACGTGCTAAAACACAAACTGTCCCCCAGCAAACTGTTTGGCAAATCGGTAGTACAGGACGAAAACAAAATCTTAATAATGTAAGTGTTATAACTGTCTTCTAAATGTGGATAAATCGCCATTGTTCAAACAAAATGGCTACGCACAGCTTGCGATTCCGTGAAATTACCCAATTATCGTTAAAATTGTTAAGATATATAGCTGGTATTTTAGATCGCGGGTGTTTAGTACCTAAATTTTTCATCCAGATTATTCTGAATAAAAAGGTAATACCGAGCAAAATATTTTGGGGTGATTTGCAGCTTTGGATCTTATTCGGATCTTATGCGGTAGGCCTAATGAAAGTAGATAATGGAGAAAAAAAATCGGACAAATTTCAAAACGATCGAGTATGGGGATGTTTTCATTTTTGTGGTAGTTCAAAAGATCTAGGCAAGTGAGTAAGATCTAGGCAAGTGAGTAAGACGCTGGCTCGCTAGCCTGGAGGTCGGGTGTTCGATCCCTGCATTGGCCGAGAAAGCTCATCCAGATTTTCCGGCGTGGTTCCCCATTGTCAGTGTTGCAGGACGGAGGGCCTGACAAGGACAGCTGCCTAGTCGTTCGGATGGGACGAAAAACCGAGGTCCCGTGTACACATTGGCGTGCACGTAAGGGAAATTTTGCCCGGACAGCGGCACTACGGCCTACTCTTATATCGAATTCCAACTGTCAAGGGATCTTTTGCGTGCACGCCAATGTGTACACGGGACCTCGGTTTTTCGTCCCATCCGAACGACTAGACAACTTTCTTTGTCAGCCCCTCTGTCCTGCATCACTGACAAGGGAGAACCACGCCGGAAAATCTGGATGAACTTTGTCGGCCAACGCAGGGGTCGAACACCCGACCTCCAGGCTAGCGAGCCAGCGTCTTACCCACCTAGCCACCGTGGCTCCCCCACTCTCAAAGCATGTCAAGTGTCCACGACTATTAATCATATCATAACCTGCATAGGTATTTGCAAATAACACCACTGTTACCAGAAACAAACTTCAATATGGCGTCCATTAAAATCACTTGATATTGATGACTATGTATGGCTTGAAATCCCAGATTTTGTGTTTTGGGAAAATTAAGTAGCTCTATGCATCTTACTCTTGATCTGAATACATTGACCCAAAGGGGATATTGGCTCAGATTATGGAAACAAAATGAAATAGATGTGGGTTGATATTCTAAGTAGGCCTGTCATTTTACCAAACATAAGAGAAAGGCTGCTTGCTGTAGTAAACACAAATAGACCAGGAGCCCAGGGGGTTAACCTAGATGAAAAGTGTACCAATTTTCTCCTACATGTATATGGTATCAATGCATGTATATCTGGTATAATCAGAATGTAAGTCTGCCGGGTTTTTGGTGGTGGGTGTGGTATTCCACGCCCAAAATGCAATGCCCCCCCCCCCCCAACTAGGCTAGATTAGCTCAAAAGTGTACCACATGAAAATCATACAGCAGTGTACCGTACATCTTCAGATATTACAAAAACACTCTGACAGACATTTCTAGTGGTGGGTTACCCCTGACAGAGCTATGTAATTGCAAGACATCTGTGGCACAATTTTTAATTTTTTGGACCACGGGAACAGTGCTGGCTAATATATCCTAGATGGGGGCGAGACATTTTTGGGCGTGTCTGTTAGGGGTTACCCACCGCACAAAATTTTTCTGGCAGTGGTCATTCATGATTAACGTCGTGGTACTGAACAACTCCAAAGCTGTTTTAGGTGGTACAGATTTAAGCTAATCTAGCCTAGCTGTGGTCTGGAAATTAGATAACTCTTGTCAGGGATACTCCACCACTACAAATGTCTGGCAATTACATAGCTCTGTCGGGGGTACCCCACCACTAGAAATGTCTGTCAGAGTGTTTTTGTAATATCTGAAGATGTGCGGTACACTGCTGTACGATTTTCATGTGGTACACTTTTGAGCTAATCTAGCCTAGTTGGGGGGGGGGGGGGGCATTGCATTTTGGGCGTGGAATACCACACCCACCACCAAAAACCCGGCAGACTTACATTCTGATTATACCAGATATACATGCATTGATACCATATACATGTAGGAGAAAATTGGTACACTTTTCATCTAGGTTAACCCCCTGGGCTCCTGGTCTAAAACGGTTGATTCCAAAATAACATTATAATAATCAGGGGGTTTTAAAACAAGAAATTTAATGGGGCTATTTATTTTATAATTGGAGCAGTATTTAATTGGTGACAATGAATTATTATTGTGCAATTATGGATGTTAGAAAAATGGAGATTTATTCACACGGGCATCGCCGGGTAACTAACTATAAAAAAATGCAGCAGTTTCGTTGACTGTGAGTGATATGAACAGTAGATAAATGTGTTTGAAATAATGTCTGTCTAGTTTTCCACCGATCTATATATTGAAGCACCCAAACATAATCAGTTGATGTTATAGCGTGACTATTTATCTTATAACATAGAGACTTTTTATGGCTTTTGTGTTTAATTTGATTTATGATACTGGAATCACGTGGAATTACACGTGCTACTCTTAACAATAAAGTACGACATAAATGTTAGCTGTAAATGGAAATTGTCATGTGTTCTGGAATGGTAAATATACTATGTCCCATGCACGACAAATGTCATTATTTACATTATTATTTAGATTATTGAGAATCTACTACCACACAGCTTTTTCAGGACTACTAATATATGCCCCAGTCTTAGGAAGGGCGTTAAAGTTACAATTTCATATTTTTAAAATGTATTAAAATAAAGCCCTAAAACAGATGGTATCTATAAACAGCCCTACCTTGTTAAAGAATGATCCTATTAATCCTACAATTCACTATTGCCAGTTGAGAAATTGGCAAAAACATCATTTTCAACTTCAAATTCAAACGTTTGAAGATAGCTATTCCATAGTGGGGAATAGGAAAACAAGGAAGGTAATTGGGAGGTAATTGTGATATTATTTCTGGTGTGAAGATTTTTAAGTGTGAAAAAGGCAAAATATGATCGTATAATAGTGAGTTGACAACCCATTGAGCAAAAGACATAGAAATAATTATGTTTTGACTTTCTTAGAAAATATGAAATTGTAACTTTAAATAGGTCTAACAAAACCCTGGATAGGTCAAATTTTCCGTTTTTGCACTAGGTAGATTTAAAGCAATAAAATGTCGGTGTAAAATATAAAAACTAAAGCGAAACCTGTTCTAATTAATAACTTGTCTTTAGGTGGTCTTAGCACTGTACATTTACTTGGAACGTCGAAACGTTCTGTTCTGTTATTCAAGATCTTTTTCGACGCTCCAAAGTAAATGTACGGTGCTAAGACCACCTAAATATAAGTTTTAAAGGACAATATTGGTGCCAGTCAGAGCTGGTTAAACACATTCCAAATATCATTTTAACACAGAGATCATTATTGCTACGATAGCTGAGTAATACAGGTTTCCTGAATCGGAAGTGACGAACGCCAAAGGGAAACACGAGTCATACCTCTATATAATTTGACCGATGTGACGAGTGATAACAGATACACGACCGAATTTCTGCTCACTAATAATTCCTTACAAGACCAAAAGTTGTTGTGTGAGACTGTGAGAGGATATCTGACAATTCATAAAAAGAATTGACTGCCACTAGATAAGAGAACACGAAAGAAAAACAGAAAAGGTCCGTGCATTACCATGTTTTTATAAGGTATAGAATGAATGTAAACAAGGGAATGTACGGACTATTTCTATTTTTCTCGTGTTCTCTTATCTAATGACATTCAATTACTTTATTGAATTGCCAGGTATCCTCTTACAGTCCCATATAACAACTTTTGGTCTTGGCTTGGAAGGAATTATTAGTGAGCAGAAATTCGGTCGTGTATCTGTTATCACTCGTCACATCAGTCAGTTATATAGAGGTATAACTCGTGTTTTCCTTTGGCGTTCGTCACTTCCGATTCAGGAAACCTGTATTACTCAGCTATCGTAGCAATGATCTCTGTGTTAAAATTATATTTGGAACGTGTTTAATTAGTTCTATCACATATGTGATAATGACTGACATCAATATTATCCTTTAAATGTTCCTTTTATTAATTAGAACAAGTTTCGCTTTAGTTTTTATATTTTACACCGACATTTTATTGCTTTAAATCTTCCTAGTGCAAAAATGGAAAATTTGACCTTTTGGCCTCCGGGGTCACAAAGAACAAACATGAATATAGCAAGTTAACATTTTTATTGAAAGGTTGATTACTTTCGATCATTTTCAGCATGTTTTCGTGGTACAAGAATGGCTGCGCATTTACTGTCAGTGCAAATGACCTCATTTGACATTTGACCTTTGACCCCGAATATCTCGAAAACACCCCAACGGCAGACTGATTACCACTCGGCATCATATTCTACGCAAAATTTTACTCTAGAAAAGTTGGGTCTGGTTTTGTGCCCATTTGATGGACACCCCCCGCGCTGAGCCTCCGGTCTATAAGGTCTTAAATGCTCATCTTCAATAAAATGGAAATAAATATGGGCCTGTAAGGCAAGCGTGATTATTTTCTAAGAGAAAATCAAATTCCTTGTCGCCAAAATTTGTCAGGTAGTCAGAAACGTCCATCTCTTTCCCTGGCTTTTTTATGGCTATTACTAGGTAGATTAACATTTTATATCCTGTGGAGGTTCGAAGTTTTCACACAAATTTCCCTTTCCGAAACAGCTACAACCCCAGAACATAATAGCTTTCTCTTGCCGTAACAACTACAACCCCAGATATCCATTTCCGGGCCACCTACATCCCCAGAACTAACAGATTTCCATTGCTCAAACGCCTACAACCCCTGAACATAATAGTTTTCAGTCCGAAGCACCTACAATCCTAGAACATAATAGCATTCCCTTCCGGGTTCCCGTGTAACACCAGAATATGATGACTTTCCCATTCCGAAACACCTTAACCCCAGAGAATAATAGCTTTCCCTTACCGAAACACCTACAACCCAAGAACATAATCGCTTTCCCTTTCCGAAACGCCTCCAAAACCGGAGCTTATAGATTTCCAAATGATTTTAAATAATTGTTGCATCTTGAACCGGGTCTAAATTTCCCGCCAAATTAGGTTGAACGTTTCCTACCACAGGTGGAGCAACACGTGGCAACGTCTAGCTAAAAATCATTTTCTGACCATATCTGACAGTGCAATGGTCCACCTGACAATGCTAATTTTCTTTCAGTCTTGCGTCTGAATTTGTTTCACTTTCGGTACCATTCAAAGTGTTTCACAGTTTAATACAGATCTGCATGGAGTCCGAATTATTCCAACTCAATTGCAGGATGATAGATAGGCCTGCATACAATAAACAGGGGAGTCTGAATTTCTAGAGGGATGACTTTGCTGCTCATGGCCGTAAAACCCCAATTGATGTGTCTATAAGCCCACATTTCAGTGTGGAAGTATTATGTTGTCACCCCTGTCCGTCCTTTCATCGGCATGTGAACCCATAGAGACTACAGTTTTTTACAAACTTTTTTCAAATTTGGAATGAAGCATTGGGGTCATGAGATGTACAACTTATCAATCTTCAGCATTACTTCCGTGTCAAAGTTAGCCCCCTTTGCCAAATACCTTATGAATACGACAGAGGTTCCATATTTTAATGGATTGGAGGTGTTGTGGCTAAGTTTGTAAGACACTGGATCACTATCCAAGAGGTTGTGAGTTTGCCTTCCTTAGGATTTTCTGGGGTGGTTTCCCCTTGTCAATGGTGCAAGATGGATTGGCAGGGCCTGACAAGGATGTCTCTAGTCATTAAAATGGGGTGTAAACCATGGCCCTGTGTACACATTGGCATGCACGTAAAACAACCCTTAACAGTTGGAATTTCAAATGAAAGTAGGCTGTAGGGGGCAATTTTTCCCTGTATGGAGTATACGCCTGTCTTCGTTCTCCCAGTTTCTGCATAAAAGTTGAATGTTAAACCCCATTTCATTTTAACGGATTATCTTCAAATTTGTTATGGAGCATTGGGGTCATGAGAGGGCGAACCTATCGATATTTAGCGTTCCATGACCTTCTGTTCCCAAGTTACCCCAGAAAAGATTGTGTCAAAATCCATGTCTATATTTTTTTTTTGACACAAAGCTGCTGTGTGGGTGTATTTCCACGCTTTGTGAGGCTGTCTGTTTATGTACACATAATATACCGAATAATAGATTATTGCACTACAATGACAGCCACTAATCCTACTGTTCTACATTATTTTCTTACTTCACTAATTTGGAAGAGAATGTGGATCCCAAGCACACTAACCAAAGGATTGGCTATATACAAACTTCATCTTTACTTAATGTCTACTGTTTACAACAATGTATTCACTTCACATATTTCTGTTCCCCATTCTAGTCCACTCTATTATAATATCACAAATAATAATTAAACTAATAAATTTAACTTTTAAACTCACATTGAAATATCCTTATCTGTTCTAACAGTTTTTAAATCTGATTTCAACAGATTATTCATTCCATTTGTAACAGTTTTTAAATCTATTTGTAATAGTTTTTAAAAGGTAATATAACAATAAAGTATTAATAGTTCAGTGAATCTCTTGGACATTAATTTATTGTGATGTCCAACAAGTTATATACACAACAACGCACAATGTAAGTATTTACACAGTAACTTGGTTTATTTCCTTCTGCCACCACCACCACCTGATAAAATCATGGCAATCCTCATAAATATATTAATTGTATCCATATAAATTCCAATAGACCTGTAAATAAAAAAAATTGTACAATTAACTCGAGGTTATTCATGTTGACAAAATGATTACATGCGTTTAGTGGTATATGTTTAAAAGTAGACATCAATCAGTTTTGTCTGTTTATCTGTTGTTTAAACTGAGGGGTCAGTTCAAGATAGAGTTATACCTTAATAGAGTGTAAATATTAATGAAATTTAAAAAAAAGAAAGTATGGTTTAATTTTAAATACTCTTTATCTTACCCATTTATGGGATCATATTTTCTTACAGCATATGTTGGATGGTTCTCTGCTTTTTGGATGATTTTCTGGGTGTCATATAATAAAAAAAAGCTAAAGAGAACTAAACCACCATATATACTGATAGAATACAAACCAGCACCAAGAGCTGTTGATGGGGGTAAAAACATTCCACCTAAAGTTACAAAACAATAACAATTTATAAATAATGTAACGGTCATTTTTCAAAAGTGATTTCCCTAATTCATGTCCGTTTACTTCCTGATATATTGTCTTCAAAATCATGACATCACCAAAACCTGGCAGAAATTGTAAATTCAAACAATATTCTTCAGTTCTAGAACAAAAAGCCAACAAAAAATGCCATGCAAAAGCGAGGAAAGGGAGAAAGATCGAATTGCTATAGACAGATGGATTCCATGGTACAGAGCTAATTACTTGTTATCTTCCCTCTAGTCCCATTATAGATCTAATATATGTGATTAACATCTATCATAGCAACCACCTTTTTTGTTAGGATTATTCTGAGTTCTAGAACAATATTCGACTGAAAAGTTTTTTACAGTCCAGACCACAAACTCTGCCCAAATATGAATTGCTATAAACTACTGTGAATTATGTTCATCGTCACAAAGTTTCTGATTGCCTTTAAGTAAAGGGATAACAGGAGAGTAACATGGAAGCATAACTGTACCCTGATGTTCAAACAATTAGGTATTGTGTCTTGTCACATGTAAACATCAGAATATTTATTGACAAAAAAAAATACTTGTAAACATTGTCTAGGTCTACACCCTCTCTAAGCTGTTTTTACTTGTCGTGTTTATGGTGTACTAACCTATAGAGGAAGCGAAAACAACACCAAGACCAATAGCAAGAGGACCTCCCATATTTAAAAACTTCTCACTTGGAGCGCACATAGCCACTGCCGATAAACCTGTAATATAGAAAACAATTATTTATTGTCTACATTAGTGATCATTACTGCTCAAAAATATGGTGTATGAAAAAATCTGTTTTGTATACATCTTTAAGGTACGGTACACAACATTCCATTCTAATTTACACTGTATACTATACTGTCCTTATACAAACAATTCACGTTATGAAGCATGCTCAATTCTATTGGAGGTCTTGTGGTTTCATAGGTCCAAATTTCAATACGGGCCAAGCATTAACTGAGTGGGATCAGAGATTTATTAGAACTTATGTGCTGTATTGTTAGTATCTGCACATTAACTGTCCCTATGCTATGAGGACATGCTTCCAAAGAAAATTTTAATGAAATATGAGGCAATAATTTAAGTGATTAGATAGTTAAATATATTTTGGAAACTGTGAAAGTCACTCAGGAGTATGGATCATCTGTTGTCAAGTAACTGACTTCAATCAAAATATTTTAGATTGTTACATAATATACAAGTACCTCCAACTACTCCTGCAGTATACCAAGCTGCTCGAACTAATAATGGTCCACCTAACAATGATATTGGTGCAATGACAGCCCCTATAACACCACTGTGAAGAATCCATGCTAACTGTTTAGCACCAAATCCCTCTGTATATTCTATAGATCTACACAACATGCCAGTTCCAATCATAGCTGCAAAGGTAGCTCCAATAGCCTGAAATACAAGAAGACAAGTTCTAGAAATATATTTGTAATTTCTCAGTTCTTTAGTTCAATTCTAATACATTCATGACATACAGGTACCAAAAATGATCGAAATTCAAAAAGTGGCTTCAGAGAAATAAACAAAAATGTTTAAATATATCCTGTTATTGTGCATCTGTATCTGCTGTTTCCAACTATAGGACTAAGAAAAGCACAATCCAATCAATATGTTTATTAAATTTTCATGAAATTCATCAAGCAGTTCTTGGAGGAAAAAAAAAATTGCCTCTTTAAGGTGGGCTGAGCAATTTCATTTAAAATTTAAAGCATCATTTAAAACATAACTACTGTACTAAACTTAGTAGAAATGGGCTAAAAATGATGTATAATAAGAAGGCTTAATTATCAACATCCAATGCCCTTGGTCATGTTTAGAAACCTATAGGGATAGACACATAGATAACTTAAATGGTTTATGAGATATGCCCGGAACAAAAATGGTATACTTAAAACTAAGTTAAATTTTTTTCCAAATAACACAAAAGTTATTAAATTTACAAAATTTAAATAAAAGATTGATTAGTGCATAGGTTTATAAGATAGGCCCTGGAAACAAAATCAGGACGAATTGATGGATGCACATTTCAATATCCTTCCCAACTTTGTTTGGCGAGGGATAATATAGGAACATCATACATGTATATCTACAATATCTTTAATATACATGTACAGTTATTTATCAGCTATCTGGGTTGTTGCCCCATTAAAGATACATTACGGGAGATTAGATAAAGTGCTGACAGTCCTCACTATAATAGTTAAAGAAACATACGCCCACAGCAGCTAAATCGTCCAGGCAGTCAACAAGTGTTGTCGCATATTTTTATTTTTTTCGGTAATGAAACATTTATAATACACTAAAATCTGATTAAGAGTAACAATTAATGAAATAATTATCAGAAAACCATTAGAAAGTTTAGTATACGAAACTTTTAATATCATGGATTTAGCTGTTTGAGTCATAAAAATTCATTGAAAATCAATATACTTGTTCGTCTCAAGATCTTAAACTCTGTGTATCAATCTGAAGTCAATCTTGTCTCATGACCTTAAACATTGTGTATAAATTTAAAGTCAATCGGATATTAACTTTAGCCTCTAGAGCGTCCACAAGATATTTTGAAGTGATCAAGGGCCATAACTCTGGTAGTAATTATCAGAAATCGCTGAAAATCAACAGCCTTCTTCGTCTCATGGCCGTAAATACCGTATATAAATTTAAAGTAAAGTCAATCGGACCGACAGACCGACGGACGGGGGCTATGACAATATACGATCACATTTCAATGTGGGCGTATAAAAACTAGATAATGTAAAGGGAATTTGCTGAAAATTTCAGTCAAATTGATCCACCCTGAACAGAGATTATAGTCTCGATTATCCATTTCATGATTAAATCATGAATGAAACTTTAGCTGCAAATTGGATAAAAATACAATAAATATTGCAGGCTAGCGTTGACACTGGAATTGATTATGGTCTGGATAAGTTAATTAATGTCTAATTAATAATTTAGATAACATTTCGGGAGTAAAAGAAGACCTGTAATAGGCAGATTTAGCTCTTGCATAATGTATGTTTAATAAAGCATATTTTAAAGAGAAGTCAATATATCTTACCATCCATGAATTTTTCATCATCATAGCCATTATTCTTGGATTACGAAACACACTTACTGCTGACATAACTGTTATTGCTACACTACCACCAAAATACATATAGGTATCTCTTATCCTACCCTTTACTTCTGCTGACCACATACTGTAACACGTAATAATAAACTCACAAAGAGGATCATCCGAAACCATTAAAAAACAATAGGATACTTCCATTTAGTTTAATATGAATATTTAAGATTACTGTACCCTAAAACTAAAACTTTTAAACAGGTAGAACTATTACTTGCATTTATTTTAAATAGATTGCTATGTTAAAAGAAATATACATTTAGCTACATACGCCCACATTTTCGAGAGATGGATAGAAAACAAGCTAAAACGAAAGTGATTTTTCCTACAATCAAGGGCCATAATTCAGGAAATTACAATTCTATATGCGCAAATATCTTTGAGTTATAAACTCACATTTCAAGTTTCAACAAAATCGGATAAAAATTGTGACCTCTATAGGGTCCACAACCTTGATATACCATATTTTTACGCTATTTGAGAATGAGGGGCGGCCATTTTGTCTGTCAGTTTTGGGCCGATTTTCACGAAATTCGAACTCAGTCATCCTTAGGGTGTAACGGTGATATAATAATACGTTTTTTTAAATCGGATAAAAATTATGACCTCTATAGGGTTCACAAGCTAAAAACGCGATTTTTCGTACAATCAGGGGCCATAATTCAGTAAGTTACGGTCCGATATGCGCGAATATCGAAAGGAACCAAGATCTTTGGGTTATAAACTTACATTTCAAGTTTCAACAAAATCGGATAAAAATTTTCACCTCTGATATACCATATTTTTACGCTATTTGAGAACGAAGGGCGGCCATTTTATCAGTCAGTTTTTGGCCGATTTTCACGAAATTCGAACTCAGCCGTCCTTAGGATGTAACGGTCATATATAAACACGGTTTTTTAAATCGGATAAAAATTATTACCTCTATAGGGTCCACAAGCCAAAAAACGCGTTTTTGCGTACAATCAGGGGCCATAATTCATGAAGTTAAGGTCTGATATGCGCGAATATCGAAAGGAACCAAGATCTTTGTGTTATAAACTTACATTTCAAGTTTCAACAAAATCGGATAAAAATTGTGACCTCTATAGGGTCCACAACCTTGATATACCATATTTTTAAGCTATTTGAGAACGAATGGCGGCCATTTTGTCTGTCAGTTTTGGGCCGATTTTCACGAAATTCGAACTCAACCGCCCTTAGGGTTTAACGGTGATATAATAATACGTTTTTTTAAATCGGATAAAAATTATGACCTCTATAGGGTCCACAAGCCAAAAAACGTGTTTTTACGTACAATCAGGGGCCATAATTCAGGAAGTTACGGTCCGATATGCGCTAATATCGAAAGGAACCGAGATCTTTGGGTTATAAACTTACATTACAAGTTTCAACAAAATCGGATAAAAATTGTGACCTCTACAGTGTTCACAAGCCAAAAACGTGATTTTTCGTACAATCAGGGGCCATAATCCATGAAGTTACGGTCCGATAGATGCCAATATCGAAAGCAACCGAGATCTTAGGGTGATAAACCTATATTTCAAGTTTCATTGAAATCAAATAAAAATGGTGACCTGTAGACTGTTCACAAACAATATACGTCCACATGAAAATGTGGGCGTATAAAAACATTAAACCATTATTAATATAATAATATTCACATATAGTGTACCACAATTCTGAACACTAAAATTGTCTGTAGTGGCTACTCTGAATTTAGTTTGTAGGTTTGCTTAATCAATATGCAAAGAAGGTTACTGCTGATTGCCAGTGCAACTATAAACTTACATAGATCTGTCTATAGCTCCTAGTTCATTTGACATACCAAGTCCATAATAACATAGAGCACCTATACCGACAACAGATGCCCCTGCAACTACTCCCCTACCTACTTTAAAGGCTGAAATATTCATAAAATGTTCTTTAAATTCAGGGTTAAACAAAAAAACCAGTGCTGTCAATCTAAATAATTTATTAAGTGCTTCGGTTGTTTAGGAATATCAAGATATGAAGAAAATGAAATATTTACATAATTCTATGTTTTTTTAATTTATAAAACAGGCCCGTGACAAAGTTCCAACTCTCAGGTACGTTGTATCTGACATTTAGTTAGATTCCACTGGAATCATTATTTCCAGACCTGCTTCCAACTTTTGTTTATTTCCTTGGTCATGTGGCACACATGCAGTTCCAAATCATGATAATCTTTATGAAGAAAGTAATTCTCTACCTGACTCTCCTGCTGGTGCCATCGCCATTTCCTTTAAACTTCGTTTTTCAGCTCTTCGACTTAAACCAGACTTCGCTTCTGACGCATATTGCTGAATTCTTGATTTTTGGTAGGATATATTTGGTTTGAATGTCTGTTTACCAATTCCACTAACAAATGCTGTTAGTGGTATTCTGGTTGTGATTAAACACCGTGATATCAGCATCTTGTTTTCTTAACAGATTCCTGTCAAATATTAATTAATAAAACATATACACTGTATTATTATTATTACAGATCTTTAACACCATATGCTTATATCTGAAACCCATCATGGTACGTAGGTTATACATGTAGCTATGATGTTATAATGTGGTAATGCCATTGTGTTAATTCAAAAGGTACCATTGTGTATATTTAAAAGAGCATGAGTACGGGAAGAGGAACCGTGCTAGACTACCATTGCCACTGGCTGATGATTTCAAGCAGACAGCATCCAACAGAGATTGACAAAGACCTGGACGACAACATGTGACCATGCTTGGACAACATTGTATCTCATGCTGCCAGCTTCTCTCCACAAATGAACTACCCTGTCAGACTGCGTGCGAGATGGTCTTACAATTACATGTATGTTTGACTAAACACAGTGACTGACTTTTAATTTATAAATTCCAACTAAGTTTTTACCTACACCAAATTTCAGCTGAATTGATCTTGAACTTTTCATTTTACCGACCTTTTAGGTTCTCCCAAGAGATAAATTTATCTGTTTGACTCCATTTTCTTTGTTGACTATTTAGACTCAAATAACAAGACACTAAGACAGATTCCTACACACTGCGCTGCAGTTCATAATAATAATAATAATAATTTTCGTATATTTTAATTTTGGGGCTAAGCCACCATATTCTCTATAAACTACTGTTTGGCGAATATCGCTGTGACCTTGCCTTCAAATTTTCCAGCGAGCTCGGGACCTTTGCGCTTATATGTGATATGTCCCTATTTCTAGCTGTATTATCGAGGTCAATGTCCGGGGGGAAAGCAGAGAAGATGCCCTTGAGAAAAGTTGATGGGGTCAAAGTCATGGGTCAAGGTCATGTTACAAGAAACTGAACTCAAACTTTTAAGCAGAGAAGATGCCCTTGAGAAAAGTTGATGGGGTCAAAGTCATGGGTCAAGGTCATGTTACAAGAAACTGAACTCAAACTTTTAAGCAGAGAAGATGTCCTTGAGAAAAGATGATGGGGTCAAAGTCATGGGTCAAGGTCATGTTACAGGAAACTGAACTCAAACTTTTCAAAGTCAGTCTTGGGACATTTGACCTTGACTTACAATCTTTACCCTGTAGCCATTTTAAAAGGCCATCATCTTGGCTTTAACCATCAACGTTTACCTCGGTCCCGTCACACACTGCTCGGTCAGAAGTCAAGGTGGTGATGACCTCCAGTAATCAATGCTAACCAACCGTGACCTTGAGTCCAAACTTCACATCTATCTCGGGGCCTTTGCGTTTGTGCTTGATGGCCCCATTTCTTGCTGTATTATCAAGGTTAATGCTCGAGGCCAAAGTCGTGGGTCAAGGTCATGTTAAAGAAAACTGAACTCAAACTATTCAAAGTCAATTTTTGGACATTTGACCTTGACTTACGACCTTCACCTCATTCAAAATTTTGAAGGACGTCATTTTGGCTTGTACCACTGACCTTTAACTGGGTCCTTTTACACACTGCTTGGTCAGAAAACGGTCAAAAGCAGAGAATCCGTGTTCGAAAGGAAGTCAATGGATGTGGTCAATATGAAAGGTCATGGTGACCTCTGCTCATCAATGCTAACAAACCGGGACCTTGACTCCAAACTTCCCATCGATATCGAGGCCTTGACCTACGACTTTGAGCCAATTATCTTTTCTGAAGGACGTCGTCTCTGCTTTCACCTCGAACATTAACTTTGATAATACAGTAAGAAATAAGGCCACGGCAAGCACAAACGCAAAGGCCCCGATATGGATGGGAAGTTTGGACTCAAGGTCAAAATCAAGGTCACGGCAATATTCACACCTAAAGGCCAATCCACTGATCAACACCAAATAGTATTTTATAGAAAATGGTGGCTTCGCGCAGAAATTAAAGTATACGAAAATTATATTCATTTTTATGAACTGCAGTGTTAGGCAGCTGGTGCAGTTTGTCGATTTCCGTCTTAGTGTCTTGTTATTCGAGTTTAAATAGTAAACAAAGCAAATGGCGTCAAACGGATGAAGTTCTCTCTCGTTAGAAATTAAAAGGTCGGTAAAATAAAAAGTTATTGATCGATTCGGCTGAAATTTGGTGTGTGGCCATTGCTAGTCCCCTTAACATCCTCTGAAAATTTCAAGTGCCTACGACCACGGGAACTGGTAGAGGTACGAAAGTGCAATAGCGCCGAACGGATGAACGGATAAACTTATCTCGGGAGAGGTGCGAAAGGGCAATAGCGCCACATGGACGGTTTCGTGTCCAGCCTAGAAGTAGAACAATCAATTGAATCATGCCAAAAATCAAATTTCTATAGACAGGTTTGTCTGGTTTTAATTTTTTTTATAATTTTTTTATTTTTATCATAATGAGGTAGTATTGATGGTGATATTTGTTAGTAGATCATGATATGACCTATCATGTTATCATTGGATGGTACTGCGTTATGTCCTTTATTAAGTTCATACAAACAAGATTAATAACAACTTTGAACGTAGAGTCTATACATAGCATCATAGATAATACCGTATGATTGCCGACTCATGAATTCTCGACGTTATGTTGCGAAACGCGTGAAACGGCGAGAAAGGTGGTTAATCACTTCCGGTCTTCTGTTCTCGCTGTTTGTTTACTATAGGCCCAGTAGCGATATTTTTATTTAGCGCTTTCTTGTAGTATTAAATGTGGCATCATCTGGTTAAATGGTAACGAGAAATAGAAGCAATGTTCGAGGTAAGAATAGAAATGAATATCTTATAATTTTGATATTATATTGTATTATAAATAAGTATTACATTTCATGAAAATCTCGACACGTGTGTTGTCCAGTTAAGGCAAAGTTTGACAGCTTTGACCTACTTTTAAAAATCGGCAAAATAGAGTTTTCAATTCATTAATTTGTAAAATAATACTTGCAGATCATTAATAAATCGTAAATATATAAAATACAGTTTGGTATGAATAATAACATTGCTGTGTTGGCTATATATAAGCTTTTAATTACACAATTTTTTAAAAATCTTTTGTATTTTCAGCAGAACGTACTGGTACCCGTCTTTTGTTTGCTACCTAGGGGCCTAGGGGAGTGCCAGCTTGTGAAGCAAATATATTTCATGTTGATTTATTGTGATACTGATAAATAATTGTATGTTTTATTGATGTTATTTACTTCTTTTCATATTGTGTGTGTGTGTGGGGGGGGGGGGGGTATAAATATTGAGACACTAGACATTAATATATTGATAAAGTATTTTATTTTATGTATCTATTTATTTATATTTTATTTTTTTTTATTCCATTTTTTTTTGGGGGGGGGGGGGGGAGGGGGGGATATTATTATTTTCATTATTTTATTTGTTTTATTTTAATACTCAACAAGGGATTTGGTTTAAATTGTTTGATTGTATTATATCATTATTGATTTTAATTTTGTATAGTTGAATTAAGCATAATTATTTAATTTTATGTATTTCAAACATCAGAAAATAAACCATTCAAGCTATGTGTAATGTGTTTGTATGGTTATGTTGATGGTTAAATAGGTTGAGAATTGAAGCCAAATGACCAATTTTCGCGAAAAAGGGATCTGCCAGTTGGTGTTACAGAATTCAGTCAATTTTGCTCCGATATTGATAAGGTTGGTTTTGTTACAATGCTGAGATGTATGGCTTTTCAGGAAATAACACGGTTCTGGAGAAAAATTAATATTTAAAAATAGCTGCCGGTCGATATTTAAGGATATGGGTTTACTGTTCCATGTAATTAAATTAATCATTAAAAATATAACCTACAATTTTTGTTTCAATTAAATAAGTTAATCTTAACAATAATATTAGGCTATTGCATTTTTTGATTTAAATAATTTAATCTTATCAGTTGAGGAAGAAGAGTTGGTATTTCAATCTAATAAGGTGCCTATAAATTATATAATTATTCATCCAATTATGTAACATTAACATTGTCTGATCGCTTTATTTAATAATACATTTATTAATTTATCATAAAAGTATTGTTAATTAAAGATGCGTTTTTAAATGTTAAACAGGCATGATGTAAGAGCTAAATCTGCTTATTGCAGGTCTTTCTTTGGGCCTTAATGTTATGTAAATTATCAATTAGACATTTATTTACATGAATAGACCATAATCAACTCTCATGCCATCTGATTGCTCAGATTTTAAATAGATTAGAACGGTATGGTGGTAAATTTTCAATATATTCAATTTGCATTATCTATTTTTGAAATGTTATAGTTAATAACGAGAACGACCAGCTCTTTATCTAAATCTTACATAATTCCCCTTCAAATTTATTTCTATTGTTATTGTTTTATTTTAATTTAGGACACAAAGAAATATATTTTGGTTCTCGCTTGGATGACGTGTTTTAATTATTTTTTTTTAAAAAAAAACCTTACAAAACAGTCTTGTTAATTACCCCGGTTACACGAAGTAACTCTGTAAAAAAATTTGACTAGATCTATAGGCTAAATTGTCAAGTATGCAAACAAGTTAAATGTTAATGACATGAATGATATTGGATACCGTAATCATATATTCATATAAACAACATGATGAGATAAATGTAGTGCCTTACAATTTTTAAAAACTCATCTGTTACAAACAAGTGATAACTTAGAGCTAAAGACTTTGTGTAGGTATGTTTTGCCAAGCGCTATGAACACAATTTTTGCGGAATTTTGGCGCTATAGAAATGGACGTTCATTATATTTATTTATTTGGTTCTTCTGGAAAAATACATACATCTATTTAAACACCAAAAGTACTTGGCTGTACTGTTCAAAAGCTTATAGTTCCAAATTTTTAAACAAAACATCTTTCACATGATTTAATTAGCTATTTATTTTTATATCGAAGCCCGAAGAACAGGAAATCAAATTGGTGTGGCCAACATTGAAATATCAGATATCAAGGATGAAGTTGCCTTTATCAACTCTTGTAAATCCTTTAATGTACAGGATTCCTGGAAGAATCTATTTTAGAACAAAAATTCCTTTTCATTGACAACTAAAGCAATAATTCCGTTTTTATTTAATACTAATAGTGTTTTCTTTTTCCTTATATATAATTGTTATATCTACTGAAGCTAATTTAATTTCTCAACAAAGCCTAGATCAAAAAGACTATGAATAATTGCTTACATTGGGGTGGATTTATATAAGTAAACTTTTTTCCAGTTGTGCAAGCTGAAAAAAAAGTATGTGTGTATTTTTTTTTTTTTTTTTTTTTTTTTTTGGGGGGGGGGGGGCTGCATTTATAAAATTAACTAAATTAAATGACAGAGGGACTTAAAATAAATAAATGGCCATTTTCTAAAATTATTAATTAGGCCTAGATTGGAAAAGAATTTTGTAGGGATATTTACATCTTTATCAACTAAAGTATACAAACAAAGCTGAATTTATTAAAAAAAAAATGCACATTTAAATATAAACAAGATTTTTAAAACTGTTCTAATATACCATGCAATTGATAATAAAATGCAACATCTAATTTTATTAATCATACTATTACTAATTACTGTCTATAGATAGGCCTATACCGTAGGCCTGTGTGTGGCACAGAGGTGCGGGTTAGTTAGCTCGCAATATAACCTTTTTCCTTCTGCAAATTAAATTGTAGAACATTTTTTTTGAAGTATTAGAAAAATAAAAATAAAGGTGTTTGAAGTATTATCTCTATATCAGAAATATTTCCTAATTTTAGTGTAAATTGGTACGGTACATGATTCATGAATGAAGAAAGGCATTTTTTGCCCATTTGTAACCTTTTTTCAACTTAACGTCACACAGTAGCTATTTAATCTTTTGCAATATTCTAAAAATATTTTGGAAGGAGATATCTTGTTCTTTTTTTTCATATAATTTTTATATACGTGTTCATTTTATTAATTTCATAAACGTAAGTTTCAAAAATGTCAATTTCGCGTGTCACTGTGCGTACGTACTATCGAAACTTAGACCGGAAGTAAACAACCCCCCCTGCGCAAAAAAATATGCGCACGAACCAGAACGCAACATCACGTAAAGGGCTAAAGACGAGTCGGCAATCATACGGTATTATCTATGATAGCATACACTGAGATTTCTTTGGCAAAATTCAGTTTACCTACCTTTATATACAGAAATAGATGAACACTTGAAGCTTATTCAATTTGACACTTGAAAACGAGCTGTCAGACAGAATTCTTATAGTCACCCCTGACCACAGACATCAAATACATAACTTTTAGTATCTAGTTCTTGAATTTACTGACGAAATAACCAGAATTTTCCAATTTCCTTCGGAAACGGAAATGCAAATGGTTTACGGCGAATGTAGGACGTTTTGACATTTCGGACTAGGACATTTCATCCTAAGACTTTTCAGACAGATTTCTTTGTTTGTTTTCTCCTACGGACTTTTTCTTTGCTATGTATTTTTGTTTTTGTTTTTAACTGCGACAAATATATTTATTTTTTAAAATAAGTCTGAACTCGTTGTAATTTTTGTAAAAATACTGAGTGCCATTGCGTAGTTATCGTAACCATAGGCGTACGAGCTGGGGGGGGGGGGGGCTGGGAGGGAGGCGGCCGCCCCCACATTTTGGGCACCAAATTCTGGGAAAATTTGGGCACACAATTGTATTTTGTAAAAGTTGTATAAAAAAAGATATTGTGTTCTTGGATGTGTCCAATTTAACAGCGAATTTATTATTATTATGTAACATACTAAGAACCTAACTACATTTTTTGGCACCAACCACCACCGCCCCCCCCCCCCCCCCGGTCAAAAATTTCCTTTATAACACACTTTCGACACATTATTTTTCCAATTTTTTTAATTTTTTTTTTTGGGGGGGGGGGGATTAGCCGAAACGTCTTAGACCAAAATGCTATTGGCCAAACATCCTAGGCCGAAATACCTCGGTCGAAATACACCGTTTACGCAATGTCAAGGCCGTTGGTAGAAAGACTCGGCAATCTCGGTTACCCACGTTTCATACGGCTCATAGTGTAGATCAATCTGTTTCACAGAGATATTTTAATATATTGTCTCTGTTACAGATGACTGTTTCGACACGTGACGTCACATCACACGGCGTCAATCATTGTTTACATAAGATGTTACTGATTCCGGCTAAATGGTGAATTTTATTTATTTTATTACCCATTTACACTAAATAGGAAATGATTTTTACCAACAAACAATTCAAACGTCTTTATTTATTTTTCTAATAAATGAAAAAAAATGTTTTAGAATTAAATTTGACAGAAGAAAAAAGTTAATATTTGGGACTCATTAAGTCGCATCGATGTCATCCTTATCACCATCTCTTATGATTATTAAGTAAATATATGAATATGTTTGAAATGTGATTTGATCAGAAATAAAACATTACCAAAAAAACTTGAGCACGTCCAAATATTCAAATTTGATGAAAATCAATTAAATATACAATGCAATTTGAAATAGTAACCCATTTTAGTAGATTTGGAGTATATCATATACGATTTGGGATGTCTGCTCGAGTGATGTAAAAAAAAAAAAAAAAAAAAAAAAAAAGTACACACGGAGATTGTCTGATCCCTCGTGGTTAGTAAGCGCTTGGTGTATATGTTGATTAACTTGGTGGTGTACAACAGTTTCTGAAATAAAAACTTAAAAAAAAGACGTGGCCAAGTCACGTGACACATGTATGACCTTTTAATAGATTTTTTTTATAGCTAGGATATCCCTAAGCAAAATACAGACGCTAGATTAAATGTCTCGACTTGGATTCAGTCGGGTTTTTTTTGTAAAGGCCTTTTTCGAGGTCAGCAAAATATTGAATAGCGAGCAACACAGATCGATTGAATTTCAATTCCACATTATCTTTCTGAATATTGAACGGAATAGGACCACTTTTGGATTAATATTCACGAAATTTTTAGGGGAATTTTCTGCATCACAGATTTTGATTGGTAAGTTGATCTGAAGTCGACCAATCACAGTCGGACATGCCTTATAAAGAAATGTATTTAGATCAAGTTTAGCGTGAACAAACGGACAATGAAAAGCAACGCCTTAAAATAAACGGAGACCTCCTGGTTATCGAGCGAGCGCCTTAATCACTGAGCCACCGTGGCCCTCTGAGTTATAATAAAGACTGCAAAGAGACTATCTATGCAGGCTATTTTATTTATTTTTTTGTATCTTATCTGAACATTTGGTCCGTGTGTAAATGATCGCGAGCACAGTGTATAGGGCTTAATGTTTAAAGAGTGGTGGACTTCGTGTATTCCAATGAGTAACCCAATGAACGCAACTTTTCGATACCCTGTGTAAACTTTGCCGAGAAGTAATTTTAACGCAGCAATACCCTGCAAAATTATATTACTCGCTTCTTCCCCCTTTCCCTTTGCGACATACGAAACAAAAGTGTTATAGACAGGTCTATCCAAGTAAAGGTCGGGTGCTAGTCCAGGGTTTGTCCAAAAATCCTCCCGACAAAGTCAACTGGGCGTTAATGTTTCACAGGCAGATGAAGCTTATAGGGCCAAGGTGTATACTATTTTTGACTCTGTCATAAACCTTTCTTACACGTGCTGTATTCTTAAACATCCGTCGTTATCCTTGACTTTTTCAATTGTGTTTAAATACACACTTTCATCTTCCCTTATACCCCCATCAGACCGAGGTGACGTCCTTACTTCGTTGCTACGGCGACGGAAAATGGTCTCAGAGCGCGTCAAGATCGCCATAAGCGTGCTAAAGGCGTGGTGGAAACGCCAGATATCGTGCTGTGGTCTCTATGGTCGCCAAAGATCGCCGAGTCACGGCGTTTGTTTTGTGCATGTTCAAAACAAACGCCAAGGTTCTGCGATCTGACCTGGAAAGCTGTGAGAATACGACTTTTTTCAAGTTTGTAATTTTTTGGGACATTTTCTCGCGTTGTGTTCACGTTTGCCATCGACCTTGTGCATTTTCTGGTCGCCGTACGGTCGCAGCAGCGCAGTAAGGACGCCACCCCGGTCTGACGGGTGCATTAATCACGAGAGTGTGCGATTGCAAGGGTTTTAGAAGTGGAAAAGCCCATTATAGAGTCTCCCTTCGTCTAAATCCAACACTGTTCACAGAGCTTCGGATAGTTGTTGCTTGAGACTAGAATAAAGTTTATTTTTATAAGAGAAAGGTTGTTTTACACTTTTTCATTGTAGATCATTGTTTAACAGACTGGATATTTTCTCATGGTGGTGATTTTGAAATTTAAAGTGCAACGCGGAAACTATAAAGGAATCCATGTAGGATAGACATGATCTCTTAGGTATATATCCCTTCGGTCTCCAAAATTTTCATCTACAATAGTTTTCGGGTAAACTGTCGTTCCGTTGGCTAACCAAGCTGCCCAAAATGTGAATGTTCCAAAGGAGGTTATAGTGTGATTTAAACTCGCTAAAATTGCCAAATCAACTTCTGGTGCATTGCCTCGAATAAAAACTGCATCGTCCGTTCCAATGTTATTTTCACACCACGCAATATCATCACTACAAACTATAAATACTGGAGACCGATACAGAGATCGAAAATAATTCTTCGCTGTTTCGAAATAGGTGGAAGTAGGAAGGTTGATTCCAACCGATCGGCTGTGAAGCAATTTGACATAATCTCCTCTCCGCACATGAATCCCAACGTAGGTACGAATGGGGATAGTAAGATTTCGTGTTCGACGAAAATTATCTAATGCCGCTTCTAATGAAAATTTTGCCATATAAGCAACACGTTTTTTAAACGTAAACTGTCGATGAATTTCCGTTTTGAAAGGTTCGAAATACCTCCACGACTGAAAGAAGCCTTCAACGAGATAATCAGTGTCATTTGGTAGACTGGTAATAGTAGATTCAAATTGATACGGATCGCGTTCGAACAACTTAGTGTAGTACAGGCAGGGTCTAAAACTATTTGAAGACTCCACCAAATTTGAAAAAATGTCCGTTAAGTTATAAGACGAAGACATCACTAACCTGAATCCATTTATGCGACCTACAGAATATATAGACGCGTATTGAAACATCGTGTTACCTAGTCTTCCAACAAATGTGTGACACAAAGATCGTTTATAGCTTGATTTTGTACTGTTGGTGTGTTTGGTATTCAATGACTCATTAACAGTCCTAGGTATGACTATCCATTTACCCTTTAAGAATAGTTGGTGATAGCTCTCAATTTTACTGTTGGCAATACTAACAGTGTCATTTTTAATGCTTGCCAAATCCAAAGAAAGCGATATAGCTATGTATATACAGAATATAACTGTCATAAAGCCACATATAACTGAAACAAAAGTAAACGCAGTAAATAGAATATATTATAAAAAAAATAATAATAATGTGACTAAATAAAACGTTCATTTTTTTTTATTGCTAGAAAACTAAATACATCCAAAGCATGCTATATTTGAGATATTAACTCATGAAAAAGACATTAAAAACATTTAACGAGAAAATGTAATTAATGTTATACAATAGCATATTCACAATTACGTTTGACTCAGCTAGAACTAGCATACCTTCGAAAACCATGACGAACTATAATGCGTGCGACTCGTTCGGGTTTCTAAAACCTATATATCTCAGCGATGGATTCTCAGATCTACCCCAAAGTATCAATAGTCAAATCACGATAAATCGAAAACAACTTTATTACCAACCGGAAAAGATCATTAAGTTCTAATGACTCTTTAAGTATTCAAAAACATAATCGAAACATCTTTTTGACCAATTTACAGGGTTTTAATTCCAGACGTCGCTTCAGTCTGAATTATTTTACATTGACAGCTTCATTACGAGGAAAGCGTCAAATGGCAGCTTTTTTTATGACACCACGAGTTCAATAACTTACAAAGACAACGAAATAAATTAGAATTCATTTATTAAAGAAAGAGAAATACCCTTACCTTTCCCCGGTCTCATTCGGAAGAGTCTGGTGCAAATTCGATGACAAGTTGCCATTTGAAACCTACAGATAACATAAAACTCAAACGAGGTTCATTTGGACAAAAACTATCTTTAAAAGGAAAAGTGACCTTCGTGGAAGTAGATACACTTGGAAGGCGCAGGTTCAAAATATCTCAAACGATTTAAATGTTTACACAGCTACGTCAACCTGCATATTTTTCAGTCTCCAGACCGAAAACAGCAAATGCATTCATGTTAATTAATTAGTTCAACTTAGGATTACAGAGTTTGTCCACACATTGTAAGTTGGAGTTCTTTTCAACTTGACATATTCACAGATATTTTTTTTCAACACGCGAAATTTTAACATTCGTTGTACGTAAGTGTCTGTTTGTGAATAGATCTAATCCCTAAAGCCTAGTGTACACGAGCGATTTCCAATTCCCGCTTATTGCAACAAAAAGATAGCATGTGTGCGTGTCCATGCTGCAGTAGCGGATCTATAGAAGCTGTGAATAGGGTGCGTGTGTCGGGGGGGGGGGGGGAGGTGTGAATCTAGGGTGCCATCCACAATCCCACCACTCAATAAATGTCAACAAAATACCTAATAAAATGGATAAAATAACCCTGAGAGCCCCGGTTAACCACAGATCGTCTTGTCTTTATAAGGGGATCACGTGGCTAAGTGGGTAAGACGCTGGCTCGCTAGCCTGGAGGTCGGGTGTTCGATCCCTGCATTGGCCGAGAAAGTTCATTCAGATTTTCCGGCGTGGTTCCCCTTGTCAGTGATGTAGAACGGAGGGCCTGACAAGGACAGCTGTCTAGTCCTTCGGATGAGACGAAAAACCGAGGTCCCGTGTATACATTGGAATGCACGTAAAAGATCCCTTGGCAGTTGGAATTCGATATAAGAGTAGGCGATAGTGCCGCTGCCCGGGCAAAATTTCCCTCATAGCACACTGTATAGCGTATGCCCGTCTTCATTAGCACCCGTGTGTGTCATTGCGACGTCAACGACTGTTGATTTTTGTCGCAGGTTACGAGTTGCCAAGATATAAAATTTATTCAGCGCCCTGAAATCGTATGCGCCAATTTTCAAAACTATTGTTCCACGAGAGATTGCTTGCTGCATACACATCGTTTGCTGTACGATTGCCTAAAAATATCTTGGAACTTATTTTACTTATTCGTTCTGAGAATACACGTAAAGTATGTTGTCCGTGAATTTTCGCCATATACTTTACGCACAACTTGGAATAATTCCTGGGTAATATTTAATGATTAATGAGTTACAAGGGCGAAGTGATTCTAATAAATTGTTGTTGTGAACGTCTGTCTACACGAGGATTTAATAAATGCTTATTCTGGTTTCAAACAAACTGATATTACCAAATTGTAAATTGATCGGACTTAAAGTCCCCGAAATATTGCCTTTTCAATTTTGATCATAATGGGCGTGGCAGCCAAAATTCAAATGACCATAGTCAAGTAACCGATTGGTCAAAATTGCTGTAATGGGTATAATTATATAGTGCATTATAATTCATATGATGTCTGGAACATTTTACCTTTTGATGCTTATAGATAAATTACAAAAAGTACAGAATACTGCAGCTAGACTTGTTGCTTTAACTAAGAAATGTGACCACATAACTCCTGTTTTATATATACATGTAATTTACACTGGTTACCTGTTAAATATCGAATTGATTTTAAGATTTTATTACTTACTTTTATTTTTAAATGTTTAAATTATTTATCTACTGTTTTAAAGACCAAAACTAGTCTCTTATGGTCAGCGCTCTTTTAGTTTTCAAGCGCCTGTTTTATGGAATTATCTACCATTTAGTTTAAGATGTTGTGCATCTATACTAAACAACAAAAAACCTCGTCAATACGATTTCAAAATCAGAGAGGCACTTTAATCAAATAATTCTAGAAAGCGACTTAAAGCAATTTTCTTTGAACAGTATGTTGACACTTTAGTGATAAATTCATCACAATCGGGTTTAAGTCCGGACTAAGGGCTGGCTAGTGCATAACGTTGACACCGTGCTGCTGTAGAAAGTCCCGAGTAACTCTGGAGGTGTTGGGACGGACGTTGTCATGCTGGAAAACGTTGTGTGGTATAACGTGGGGTCTGAGAGCTTGATCGATGTAGCGCACTGCTGTGATTCCGCCTCCTCTCCCTGGAAGAAGATTTTGGAACACCACAGGACCCACTCTCTGGTTCAGGCCGATTCCACCCCAAACAACTATGCTTGGGCCTCCCCATGAATCTCGTTCCATGACACATTGGTCAGAATAACGTTGGCCACGTCGACGCCATATTCTGGTCCTGCCATCTGCAGTTGATACGCAATACCTACTCTCATCTGTGAACAGACCAGGACCCGGTTCCTAGAAAATTCTTAAAGTAAGCACAAAGTCATGCTTCACTTTTTCTTACGTAAGAAACTTATAGAAATACCGTCCCTAGAAAATTCTCAAGACCATTCTTACGTAAGCACAAGTCAAGTATAAGTCTAAGCACATTGTGACTGGTAAAGTTTACCATAAACTGAGACTACGATGCTCTTTAACGTCACAAAAACCACTTTGGTATGCGAATTACGTCATAAATTTGTCGTCTGCTTCATTGACGTCATATATATATATATATATATATATATATATATATATATATATATGGTTCATTTCGATGCATTTGACATGTCCCCTATTCACATATAAAATGGGCCACAAGATAAAAAACGCAGACGCATACAAACTAACTGAATAATTGTGAGAGCGCCTGATCTTAAAGTAGGCCTAGCCTGTGTGTTTGTAGCCTATTGTTTACTAATTGGCAAATAAATAAAATGGTTTCAGGGTAGGCCTAGAAGCGAAATTTTCTATAGCATTCTTAATTTGAAATTTCTTCTGGAGAAGGATTTTCACTGTCTGGTAATTGTCTCTTTGGTATCAAAAGGTGTCGGAAATGCCGTCGAATAACTCTACGGTCAGCCATCTTTTTGAAGCAGAAACAGACTTAAGGTTGGTAAGCAAGCCGTATACCTTGCTTGGGACTTGTACTTAGATTGACTATGTTTAAGAACGAAGTTGTGCTTAAGTTTTTTCTTGGAACGCATAATAACGTTCTTGTGCTTATAATGAAGTCTACTTAAAATCTAAGCACAAGAACGTTCTTGGGAATTTTCTGGGAACACAAAATAAGATAAGTTTACTTAAATGCAAAGTCTACTTTTAAAAATCTAAGCAAAAGAACGTGCTTAAGAATTTTCTAGGAATCGGGCCCAGTTCGCCATTGCCTGTGTCGCCAGTTCTGATGTTGGGCAAACTGTAGACGTTCACGTCGATTGCAAGGGGGTAAGGATCGGTCCACGGCAAGGTCTACGGCAATGGATGTTCTCTCTGGTGAGACGTCGGCAAACTGTATCGGTACTGATGGGTCTTCCGTGTGTTCCCACTGTCTGACGTGCTATCTCAGATGCTTGCGTGTAGGGGTTTTGCACGTGCTGTCGCACAAAATGGCAGTCTTGTCGCCTGTGGTAACCCTTGGTCTACCAGTTCGGGTGGGGGGGGGTATGTTGGTGGCCCGAAAGCGTTGCTGAAGCCTGTAGATGGTCCGAACATTGACCTGGAAGTGATTGGCAACGGCTTGGGCAGTGTGGCCAGCGTCGAGTCTTCCAAGCGCCCAGTTCCTTTGAGCTGTCGTGAGTCGTGACATGCCGCTGACGTTGTAGTGTGAATAAAATAAAACCAAATACGAACAATCCAAACCATCAGACAAAATTCGAAGTCCTAAAAAAACGGTATAGGCAAAATAGTGTAATAAAGCAAAATAGTGTAATCAGCATATGGACTGTTCACCGTGTACAAAATACACGATAAACAGTGGTAACAGGTGTCCGGAAGAGTAAGCTTACCCTGCCTGGCGCCACACCCGCCATAGCTGCATCCAAACTATTAGGCGAAATCTCGGTAAAATAGCGTGATTGGCCAATGGACTATCGGTATGCAAAATGCACGTGATGAACAGTGTTAACGATGTTAGTAGACAAGACATTATGAATTCAACCGGGTATGGGGGTGTATTTTATAGGGCTGGACCCGGTGAACAGCACGTGCAGCATGAGTTACATGAAAATCATGGAGACCACATTACCATCTCAGAAGTCAGGTTGAGTTTTGGAGAACATTTCCTGGGTTCAATTCTGTATTTGGGAAGGAGCCTTATTGCTCAGGTAAAGTTGGAGATGTGGTCACAAATATGCAATAAAAACATTTGGCAAGTTTTATGCAATGCGTCTATTCAGAGTAACATACCAACATGACGTTTGTTTTGCTGCTTAGTATATTTTAGCAATAGTGGCGTTTAGGTCTTTCAGAAATTGTTGTGTCAATTCTATGTTTATTTTGTTGCTTATGATATTTTTTGGTTTGATTTTACATTTATATTCCCATATTATTTTCAGATAATACAGTATTCCACAGATTATAATTGGTGATGTTATATCATGAAACAGTAATGTGTATTTGTTAAAGTCAAAGTTATTATTTATGGAGAACTTTTTAGGTAGGTTTGGACGTTTTGTTTATATAGTCTTTTATCGCCTGACATTGTAGGAAGATATGTGTAAATCTTTCCCCAAGCTTCATGCATAGGCTACATCTATTGTTACTGTTGAGATTTCTCTGGTATAATATTTGTTTTGTAGGCAGTTCTGGGTGTGTTATGAAAATGACAAGGTCAAAATGGAAAGAATATAGGCATACTCACAAGTTGCTGCCATATTTTAAAGAAGTCTGTTGTTGGATATTTGTACATAATACTTGGTTTAGTAAAATCTAATTTGTTTATTTCATTGTAGATATGTTTTAATTTCGGTGTGCCTGTAAGATTGATTTTATCACGATAGTGAAGGTAAGTAGTTTTAATGCTTTTATAAATTTGTGGTGTACTTACTGTATGTGATAGTTTGTTGGATGCTAACCAACCCAAACCAATAAGCGAAAAGATTAGTCCATGGGTTTATGTTATTTTTCATGATTATAATTCTTTGGGGTGCCATTGCCCTTATTTTATTTCCTATGTTAGGCACATTTAGACCACCCATATTGCATGGTTGGTGTAGTGTCATTCTTTTCATGGTTTCTGGTGTGTCTTGGTAGATAAATCTAAATATTTCTTTATTTATAGAT